ATCTTTATATGTAGAATATATATTAATCTTTATATACAGAATATATAAAGATTATATATAAACTATAAATTAAATATATAAAGATTATACCTTAAATATATTGTATAAATATAATCTGTGTATTATTGTATGTTTTTAAATATAACATATAAACACAATATTTATATATAGAATATATATAATTATTGTCCCTATTTTGCAGATTTATATATAGACATATATAAAATCTGTAAATCTCTATATGTGTATATTTACCCTTTTAGGTTCTGACAGCAAGCCTACGAGGTAGGTGTTGTGAGGATTAAGTGAGTTAATATCTACAAAGTGGCCAGGTGTGCTGGTTCATGCCTGTAATCTCAGCACTTTGGGAGGCCAAGGCAGGAAGATCCTTTGAGCTCGGGAGTTCAAGACCAGCCTGGGGAACTTAGTGAGAACTTGTCTCTACTAAAAATAAAAATAACAACAACAACAAAAATCTAAAGTGCTCATAAGAGTGCTTGGCGCATAGTCCACACTAGATCTGCGGGCAGCAATTCTCCTTTTTCTTCTGCATGAATGAGGGAAATGGGAAACCCATGGAAGATTCTTTAGGCGATTGAAATCCTGCAAATCGGCCAGGCATGGTGGCTCCCACCTGTAATCCCAGCACTTCAGGAAACCTAAGGCCAAGGTGGGATGATCACTTGAGGTCGGGAGTTTGAGACCAGCCTGGGCAACATAGCAAGACCCTGTCTCTACAAAAAATAAACATGAATAAATCAATCCTGCAAATGTCTCCAGAAGGTCTGAAATGTCAGAGGATTCCAACATGCCAGGCTGCAGTGTCAGCTCCATGAAGAGAGAGATACCGTAGTGAACAGCGTCTGCAAAGCCAAGACCATGGCCTGGTCCACAGCAGGCACTCAGTAAATATTTGTTAGATGGATAAACGCAAGGATTAACGAAGCATTGGGGCCTCTGAGGCTTTCTACTCCAGCCCCGTCTGAAGGATCAGTTTTTTATTTTTTATTTTTATTTTTGAAATGAAGTCTCACTCTATCACCCAGGCTGGAGTGCAGTAGTGCGATCTCTGCTCACCGCAACCTCCACCCCCCAGGTTCAAGGGATTCTCCTGTCTCAGCCTCCTGAGTAGCTGGGATTACAGGCACCTGCCACCATGCCTGGCTAATTTTTTGTATTTTTAGTAGAGATGGTGTTTCACTATGTTGGCCAGGCTGGTCCGGAACTCCTGACCTCAGGTGATCCACCTGCCTCGGCCTCCCAAAGTGTTGGGTGGCGTGAGCCACCGCACAGGCCGGTGTCAGTTTTTTCTAAGACATCTCAACTAAGTGGCCATCCACCCTCTGCTTGCATACCTCTCATAGCGGGGAGGTCACTACCCTCCCTACCTGCCCTGCCAAGGGAGCACATTCTCCTTCTGGGTGGTTCCAGTGGATTCCCTGTCGGTTCCACTCCTTGGTCCCAGCTCTGCTGTCTTCCAACTCTGAAGGCAGCGAGCCTCTCCGAACTGTCTCCTGGCCATGGAGGGAGGAGCTCCAGGAAGCACGTCTGTCACCTCTCACCTGGATGACTGCAACTGTCCCCTAACTAGTCTCCCTGCGTCCACCTAGTCTCAACTTAGCACCCAGGGGATTCCTGTAAAAAAGTTACATCTGGCCAGGCGCGGTGGCTTATGCCTGTAATCCCAGCACTTTGGGAGGCCAAGGTGGGTGGATCACGAGGTCAGGAGATCGATACCATCTTGGCTAACACAGTGAAACCCCGTCTCTACTAAAAATACAAAGGAAATTAGCCGGGTGTGGTGGCGGGCGCCTGTAGTCCCAGCTACTCAGAAGGCTGAGGCAGGAGAATGGTGTGAAGCCTGGAGGCAGAGCTCGCAGTGAGCCAAGATCGCATCACTGCCCTCCAACCTGGGCAACAGAGCGAGACCCCGTCTCAAAAAAAAAAAAAAGTTACATCTGATCTTCTTTTATTTATTTTTCTATTTTTCACTATTGAGATGAGGTCTATGATCCCGCCTTGGCCTCCCAAAGTGCTGGAATTACCGATGTGAGCCACCATGCCTGGCCTCTTTTTTGTTGTTATTTGAGACAGAGTCTCACTCTGTTGTGCTATCACAGCTCACTGCAGCCTCGAACTCCTGAGCTCAAGCAATCCTCGCGCCTCAGCCTCCTGAGTAGCTGGGACTATAGGCGCTTGCCACCACTGATCTCGTCCCACCTCCACTCAAAGCCCTCCAGCTGCTTCCAGCTCAGAGTAAATGCCCAGGCCCTCTGCAAAGCCACCTCCCACTGCCAACGGGCTTTCTCTCCATCCCACTGTGAGACACACTGACCATCACATCAACAAACCGGCAGACAGTTTTTGCTTTTATTGGTCAAGAATTCTTTACAAAACCCACACACACACATCCACACACACACGATGCCTGCCCTGCTGCGGTCACTCTGGCCCTGGTGTCTCCTGGGATCAGGCCCTCCTGGCCTCTCCCAGGGGAAACCATCCTGCAGCCCCTCTGGGTTAGCAGTGAAGGAGCCTAGAGAGGGAACCTCCTTTTCTGCTTCTCTGCTCAGGAACAGAGGTCTGTGCCCCATCTGTGGGGGAGCAGGTGCAGGTGACAGAGAAATAGCATCCTCGTTTTCCCACTACTGAGCCCCCAGAGTTGCCAGCCTGGGCCCCCAATGTCACAGCTGCCAAGGCCTGGGGTCATCTGCTGATTGAACCTTCCCCATCCCCATTTTGCACATTGAAACATAGAGGTCCAAAGATAGGGGACGAGTCACCCAAGATCATGGTGCTGGAGCACAGTGGCAGAGCAGGGACGGGGACTCCGCTCCTCTTGGCCTCCAGGAGGTGGGAAGTGTGAAACCTGGACCCAGCTCGACCCCTCCCCCCTCAGGGAAGGGCAGAGCCAGGGCCTGGGGCATGAAGAGTGCCCAGAGATGATCCCTGGAGCCCGTGCCCAGGGAAAGTGGCCCCCAGGGCAGCTGAGTGAGCAGCAGAGTCTGGGCAGGACTATAAAGGTTTGCCAAGGGTGCCCTCTGTGACTGCCCGCGTGGCTTGCTCAGGGATGCGGCCCGGGTCGGTCAGGATACTGGTAGATGTGCCCAGCTGGCGTAGGGAGTTCAGGACAGCTGGGTGGGAGACAGAGAGAGAGAGAGAGACACCTCCTGGGGTCAGGGCCCTACATTTGGATGCTGGAACCAAAGGGATAGGGGGACGTACTAGTTGGCAAGACTGTCACCCGCTCCTAGAACCTCTGTCTACAGGCATCTGGTGGCCAGAGAACCATCTGGGGGATGGGGGGTGGCCACAACCCTAGGCTGTGTTGAAGGCAAGCTGGATGTGGGGTCTAAGCAGGGCGGAACACTCCCTCCACCCCGGAGGCTGGAACCCTCTAGCAGGCAGGGAGATGGCGCACATACTTGGCCGGAGAGCGGGCAGAGAGCAGTACTGGTCCAGCCAGGCCAGTGAGGTCTGGCGGAGGGTGTGCACGCTTGCCGTGGACACCATCCCGTTGAAGGACTCGAACAGAGGCCGGATGAGGATGCTGAACTGGGCCCAGGTCAAGGAGCTGCCTGTGGTCCAGTTGGTACCCCCACCCCATGTGGATCCCTGATGCCCAGTTCAAACCAAGGGAAGAAAGGGCCTGGACAGTGTCTAACCTTGAACCCCAACGACTCCTGCTGCAGCCGCTACTTTTTTTTTTGACAGAGTCTCACTCTGCCGCCCAGGCTGGAGTGTAGTGGCGCAATCTTGCCTCACTGCAACCTCCACCTCCCAGGTTCAAGCCATTCTCCTGCCTCAGCCTCCTGAGTAGCTGGGATTACAGGCACGTGCCACCATGCCCGGCTAATGTTTGTATTTTTAGTTGACACGGGGTTTTGCCATGTTGGCCAGGCTGGTCTTGAACTCCTGGCCTCAAGTGATCCACCTGCCTCAGCCTCCCAAAGTGCTGGGATGACAGGTGTGAGCCACTGCTTCTGGCTTGCAGTCCCTACTTCTGTCCTGCCAAGACCTTCCCAGCACCCTGCCTCTCAGTCCCCTCCTCCTTGCCCCTCCACCGCCCTTACTCTGGGCTGAACCATCCCTCATCCCTGAGCTCCCTCCCTGGGCTCAGTCAATAACTTGATCCCTGAGCCAGATGAGAGAGTGGATTCCAAGTCTTCTTTAGGCGTCACTCCAGAGTTCAGATTCTCCCAAACTGCCCTCGGGGCTTCCTGAGGTCAGGGCCAAGGCTCCCCTTCCTCAAGGACTCCTCCCTCAGTTTCCCTCTCTGCTCCCAGCCACCCATCCCTGGGCAATTCTGCTGGCCAAGATGGCCAGGACATGGAAGCAAGGGGCATAACAAGAGCCTGTCACCTGGAAGCAGCTCTGAGCCTGCCTGGCCTGGAGAGATAGGCCTCCCATCTCAGGCACAGCCTGGTCTCACCCTGCCACAGCCCCTGCAGCCCTCCAGCCATGGGCTCGAGGGAGGATACCACCCAGAATTTCCAGTTGTGCAGCGTACGGGTTCGGACGTAGTCATCAAACATATCTCGCATCTGGTCAAAACGCTGATGTGTGATGGGTACCCCTGTAGCGGGCAGCTGCTGCTGGCACAGGCTGAGGGCAGGGCAGGGGTCAGGAGCTGGAGGTCAGGCGGCATGGTCCCGGGTCCCAGCACCCGCCTGGACCCTGCCTACTTAATGGCGGCATTGAGCTCCTCAATCTCGTCCCGCAGCTGCTGGGCCTCCTCCTGCAAGCCCGCGCGCTCCTGCTGTAGCATCAGGATGTACTCGGCTGTCTTCTGCAGTGTGGTAGCTTTGCTGACCTGCAGACGCCATCAGGGGGGCTCAGGCAGGTGCTAGAGGCTGCACCCTGGGACCCACTGGGGCACTGGGAGGGGAGGAGGCAAGAGTGTCTGGAGCACTCCCCTGCAATTGAGTTTTGGGTGGGGGTGTCCAGAAAGGGGCCCCGTGGTTTTGGGGATGCCAGCCTGGGTCCGGGGCTCACCTTGAGGCTGGGCTGGGCACTGAGTGTGCTCACAAGCCCATGAAGGGTGTCAAACCCCAGCTTGATGTTAAAGCGTCGCTTCTGTTCCGCGGAGATGTGTGTGATGCGCCGGTTCTCGGTCTCGGGGAGCAGAGAGTCGGGTGAGCCTAGGAAGGAGCCCGGGAGGGTCTGGGGGTAGCAAACCGATCTTGGGGTGGGGGGATGGTGCCCACCTTGTTGCTGTCTGGACGGCCCCGGCTGAGGATGGGTTGCGGAGGAGAGACGCGGACGCTCAGAGTCCCAGGGCCTGGCATGGAGCTGAGGTCCCCTGACAGCCGCCGCTCACTGCCTGTGGTAGGAACAGACAGACCCACAGAAAGACCGACCCCGGGGAAAGAGTCCCCATTACCCCCTTCCTCTCATCCTGGCACCAGACCCAGTCCCCTTCTTCTTCCTCCTCTTCCCCTCCTCCCGTAGATTCCCCCAATCCCCGCAACCCCTCTCTTTACCGCTGAGCGCTGGGGGTGAGAGCCGCTCCGCTTTGGGGACAAGCAGGGGTCTGGAAGGGGCCAATGTGGCCGGGCCTGGAGGTGGCCGGGGCGGTGTAGGGGCCGGGGTCGGGGGAAGGAATGTGCAGGAGAATTCAGGGACTGTCTCCTGCTGGGGTGGAGAAGGGCGGAGAGTTGGGGTGAAGGCCGTGGGCACAGCCCCACCGCCCAGTGCCTGAGATCTTACCGGGGACCCTGGGGACCGGAGGAGGGTGCTGGATACAAGTGGTGGCTCCAGGGCTTGCTCGGGCTTGGCTGTGCACGGGTGGAACCATGAGGCCACTGGGGCTGGTCCACCCCCAGCATCTTTCAAGACCCCATCCTGCCCCTCCCGAGTCCACACCCCTTTTAGGTACAGGGCCCATGTCCCTCATTCCTCACCACTCTGTCCCTTGAACTGGACCTGCCCCTTCACCGTCATCTTCTGCTCCCATAACCCCCTGTCCTCCCCACCTCCTGGCCTCCCTCCCCAGGCTTTCCTCTCCCTGTTGCTGGCCCTCCCGTCTCACCTGCTGTGAGCAGCTGTGTGAGGCAGGGGTTGTTGCTCCCCGCAGTGGTGGGGGGACTGGCAGTGGCAGGGGCTAAGGTAGGGGGACTGGCTTTCTGTCCCCTAGGGGATGGGGCGGGGGGCTTGCCTCTGGGCAC